TATTTTTTATCGCTTTTTTGGCCGGTTACCGTATCATCTATACTATATAGTCTTAAATCGCCTACGATTGTCAATACCGTAAATACATAAAAAATAAAATTGTTTCCAGTCACCAGATTATGTGATCTCAATGTATTTATCCTTTTTAGACTTTATTTCACAGATTACGTTAAGAAAAATAACTTTATATATAGTATATAGTATTTACGAAAAAACAACTGCAGTTTTGTGGCTATTTCCTTAGAGAAATCGTGAACAAATGGTCGACTGAAAATCGGTCTCAYGACCTATATATTTTCGTCTTTTTAAGAAAACGTGATACTCGTATTTGTTGTCTCCGTCTTACATGTGCGTAACATGGCCAAAACTGTTTTGCACRGGAAAGAACTTAGAAGTCTACAGTTATAACTAAGAAACCAATTGTACACCATGAAAAAAGGAGAATTTTAACCATGTCACAGCGTTTTTATTTTTTCGATAACACCAATATATCAAAAACCATTGAAGTTTGGAAAACTTAAAAGATTCAGATTTTTAAAAGTATTATAACTTTTTTCTTATTAAAGATATCAAACAAATAAAAACGCTACGACACAGAAAATATTATCATCTGTATTGTGTTAACTTTTGTTGATTCTACTAATAGTATACTGACAGAGTGGTTCTATCCCGCGCTACACAGTCTTGCAATGTTACGCACTTGTAAGACGGAGACAACACATGCGGGTATCACGTCCTCTTAACAAGGCGTTTTTGAACCAATCATTTGGTAATCACCTATTATCGTCTCTGACGTGAGATCGATTCGGCTGTAAATCATACTTTTTTTACTTCTTTCGAGATAATTGCATTCTTTTGAAACAGGTACCTGCAAACAATTGATTAATTAATCATGTAGAATACATGCAGTATAAAATGGTCCACTTAAATGTGTTCATCTACGGTCTTAGTCGAATTTAGAAATAATTAATAAACGATCGTGACTATATCATTTTTGGTATYTCTGAATCATCCCAAATCAACTTGAAATATAACGGTACCATAAAATTATTTTCGCCAAACGTTTCAGATTTATTTTATTACCATAAGTTCATTAATACTACCTATTCGATTCGTAGGTGTCAAATAAATAATAATAAAAAAAAATACCTTATAACATTACCGGTGACGCTTTGTGTGCATTTTTTGTTGTTCGTAGACTTTAACGATCGTGCCTGCAATTTAACCTATATGACACTGTGTGTACTGTGTAGTGTACTAGTGTGCGCAATATGCATAACATTAATAACCTAACTATATGGGGTTGAGAAGTTGTTGTATTTTTCAAAAGTACACGTAATCACATAAATTAGAGTTATTTACATTATAAATTACAATGTATTTATTTAGGTGCCTAATTGTTTAATTTATAAAATTAGATAATATAAACATGGTATACAACATATTGATTAAATAGTATATATAGGTACASTCTAGTACTCAAACKAGTTATTGATGGGAAAAAAGTCGAAAATCGACTTTTGTAAGTATAATTGCATTTCAAATATTATCAAAGAAATAGAATACGTTTAAAATTAAAACCCATCTCATCGCAGTTAAATGAAAATAATCAAAAAAATATCCCAACGACTTTCCAGTCCAATATCGATTAACACATTAAACATCAATRTAACCACATTGCGATGTATGACATCTTCTATTATTTTATGACTACTGTTATTATCACTGTTATTCTATACACGTACATATTATGTTGTGTGTGTGTGTTTGTATTACACAACAGCTGTTCAGCTATTCGAACATCGGCACCGTGAACACTGTGACCGGAGTGATAAGTCCCACCAACCTGAGCCTGTTGTCCAACCCTGGCGGTAGTCCGTCGTCGTCTTCAGGTGGTGGCAATGGAGGCGGCAGTAGGTCTCGCGGTCACTCACAGACAACGTTACCGCGGTGGAATACGCAGTGCTCGGCTGGGCCGCCATTTATCACGCTCGATGAGGACTACATGATGACACCACTGATGTCCGGCAATGGTGGACAAGGCAACGGCGGCACACTGATCGACGACGGCAAGTATTATTCACTCGTATAATTTGTCGATATTTAGAAGGCTGTGACCCGTGTACTAAAAAGGCAGACATTCACTATGCGTACCTAGTTAAAAAGTTATTTTTTTATAATTTTMATTTTTTTTTAAATTATAGTGTTCATTGTAATAACTTGGCTTTTTCCAGTTAAATTGAAAATTGATCCGTTAAATTTAATTCATGTAAATATATTATATATTTGTATCGGTAAATAATGGCATATTAGTTAATACCGATAAAAATTATATATATATTTAATCTCTTTATATACCCACAATGATTTTTAATACCAATAAACAATTTAATATTCTTTGGTTTAATATGTCTATGTAATCATAAACTACAACTATAGGAACCTTCTCTCACTCTGTCTGATATAAGTTTCTAAGGTGGCGACCGACTTTTGTTCGGTTCAGTCAAATCATATCCATCGGTTAATATGTTTTCATTGACTTTTGTCATAAAATTCCGTTTCAAGCGATCTACTGTAGACGAGTTAATCTTGGCAAAATACAGTCCATAGGCCGTTGCTTGAATAGTCAAGTTAACTACAGCCATTTCCGCCTGAGAATTATTTGGCCAGAGAATGTATGTGCAGTATTATGCTTATGCTAGTATGTGCAATAAGACATATCATTTTACAAGAACATAGGGTGATTTTTGAAAGTAATGTTT